TCTGCCCGAAAATAACCATACTAGTTTGCTTTTGAAAAAATATATGTATAGATTTACTTTCAAATTTTTTCAAAGTCCACCAGACAACAACAGTTATTCTCATTATTGAACATAGAATTCCTTAATTCTCTCTCTATCGTTGATTTGTGATTTTATTTGTCCTGTTACAAGGAAGTGGAAAAGTCTTTGAATTTCGAGTCATGAAATATTGATTTTAACTACTGTCATTCCAAGTATTACATTCAAAGTAATCAAATAATAAGACAAATTATTGAACACTGAACTTAAAGAATCTTTTTCTCAATCATACTATTTCACGTATTTAACTGCCAATATCTGCCATTAGCATATATGTAACAAATATCATAGTCCTTACATAGACTCACAAATGTATTTGATGTTTGTATCTTACCTTAACATTTTGTCGATTCGTTATGTAATCACACTCCTGAATAGTTTTTTTGGAGACAATTATCAATCAGAACTTGAATTCTTTTTCTTATATCATCAGTAGGCATGTCCAACAATCAGGAAATATAATAGGGTTTACCTAGATCATGAGTTTTTAATGGATTTCAATAGCCAAATGTTAATGTGGAACTTCGAAATGTGACTAGGGTTATCTCTAACTAATATGAACTAATTACAAATGCGTAAACACAATTTATTGAGTTTTATCGACATCGTGAACTGATATGAGTTAGACTACTATCGAAGAAATGCAAACACTGAAGGCCATTTCTTTCTAGTATGGAACTTTTCAACAGCGTCCATCCCCGACCAAACAACTAGGAATCTAACGTGGGAACGCTTAGCATCTCGAAGCTAGTCACTACTGGAGACATGAGATTGTGAGAATTTCCGGAGTTCTTGTGAGAAACTGTGAACAGTGGAGTTCAAATGTGTGGAAGGTAGCCACCAACGACAATGGAGGATTGTCATACAATATTATGAATTAATTGAAGTTGAACTCGTACACCTTTGGATTTCATATCAGTGACTTGGGGGCTAAGCATTCACACTCCAGACCAAAGATCCCAGGTTCCATTCCCGGTTGTTTGGTCGTGAATTCCCACTTCTAAATAGTTCCATACTAGGGAGAGCCTGTGTAAAGGATAACTAACTAAAATCGCTTCGTGATTCAAATTATGAAAATTCTACAATCTTGACAAATTTCCACATACTACTATTTGTATATGTTTACTAGATATAAATACTAATGCCGATTCTTGATAATTAGTTTATCAGCTATATTTATTGCTATCATTTGCTCATTATTCTCTCTCTATACAGGTCATTCATCTCACTTAATCAGCTTATCAACTACTACACATGTAAATACTATCAAATATAATCAAAACATATCTCAACATTCAATGTCACATGGATATATTCCTAAAACTATTAAAACACTATGTTCATGCACTAGTTGCGCTGCTCTTTGTTTTAATCCATCCATACGTCTATCGACTATAAATAAACGTCAAAGTAATATGTTTACTGGAAAAAATAATCATCATTATGCTGATTATGAGAAAACAACACGAGCTGAACGTCTTGAAATGATTCGTTTTGAAGATTCTTTACAAAATTTACTGCTATTTTCTAGAAAGTAAGTTCATGCATTGCATTTTTGTGTTTAGCTTTCATTGTGTAACTCATCTATTTTGGAAACTGTCTTATTTAAAACTTAGGAAAACAACAAAAATCTACTCAATAACTTTGATCAGAATTCTAAACAGACATATCTGTTTACCAAAACTCTTTTATTTAACTGTTCATTATATGATAAGAACGTGTGAAAACTTATTGGCTTATATATAGTGCGTTTCAAAGACTTGCTATGTTAGCTCCAACAATAATTTATTTGCAAATAGTGAAACTTTCTTCCTACTTTATTTCTGTAGTTATAAACTCTTATGTTGTAGATCAACCGTGTTCACGAATGACATGCATGATGTGAACACTTGACAAATGTACAACTGCTTTTCTAATTGATATCTGTATCGACAAATATGTTAATCTTTCGACTGATGTGAGGAATGTAATTACTGACGATCAATGGATCTACGGATAGATCGATCATGTAGTATTAACTGATCTGATCTACTAATGACCATTACGGTAATTCGAATTTCTTTATGCTCGTCACTTGATATGCTCGAAACTATAACGAGTTCACCTTAGTTGATAAACGAGAACGAGACGATGAACCAGTGACACGTTAGGCTATTCTAATCTGTTGTCCCCGGCCCGACTAACTATATCAAGAAGTCTTGATATAGCGTAGAAAGTGCATTCTACAAATACCCAGCTAACACAATGAAATCAAGCACACAAATCGCAGTTATTTATACATCGTAGACACGTCCTTGGGAGAGCCACAAAAATAGCACAGAAAAGTGACACAGAAAACAATTGCAGCCATGGATTCTCCCGGTGGGAAGTGCGATCTCAAGGTCAACTGATAAACCCATGATTAAAATCAAAAATTAAGGCATTTATCAAGCGAGTTCTGTGGATCAAACGTCCCCAACACGAATAAATTCTCAGTAAGAGAGAATATAGCAAGAATCTTTCGCGTATATACCACTCAATATCTATACAGCAATGCCAATACGGAGTGTTATATACAAATAAATTGCAGGTTTTCAGTGACAGATACCTATTACGTTCGTCTTGTTTCTCTGTCCTTGTGCATCTCTCTTTCAACTCGTTATTTGTGTATTGATTTGTAATACTTGATAATATGCGGTAAACTGTTTTATTTTTTAATCAAAAGGATTTTTGTTGTGTAATATCTCAAAGTATTTTCGTAATTACTTCCTCTCAACTATTTTATTAGTCATTCTCAGTTTCGTACATTCCTTTGATCTTCATTTAAACTCAACAACTTCTATATATTTGTGTGCCCCTTCTTGCTGATTGATAAGCTATTGTTAACATTAAACACAACTGCTAGCTATCAATTTACGTTATTGTATGTTGTTATTAGAGTAATCCTTTCTTTTTCCTGACCTACAAACGCGTCGATTACCGTAAATGCCTCATCAGTTGAGGTTTGTAATCAATCTATGCAAATTCATGAATATTAGAAGCGTTCTCTAAACAAATCATTGATTTTTAAACTTTGATTATACTCGTATCTCAGCAATATTGTAAAACGCTTTGATAGAATCAATGATACCTTTTTATCAATCGATCTCTAAGTCATGTACTGTACACATCACTTTAATCCTAATATCATCCTAGTTAAAGTAGTACCAGTTTGAACGTAATTTGAGAATGATTATAAAAGACTTTAATCCGTTCCATCAGATAAAAATAAACCGACCTTCTTCACCTAGTCCTCATATATTTCTTAAAAATCAGTTTCTTCAAAGACTCATAATTATATACAATAGAACATAAATGTTCGTTTTTTCTTACACGCACACACACACACTCTCTCATTCTCTTTTTTGTTATTCCCTTTTCTCTAAGTGTTGTGTGATCTAATTTATTTGTTTTTAAAAAATTTAATTTCTATTCAGTAAATCACCTGTAAAAATTCGCGGAAAGCGAAACATCGAAGTTGAAGATTTGAACAGTGAGTTTTTAATGAGATTAGTTATTATACCACAATAAATTTTAATGGATTATTTCTTTTTTTTAATGTTCATTGTTTTTTTCGAAAAAAATATCGGTCTTAGTGTTGGGGATGTTAGATCCCCAGAACTTGCTTGATAAATGCCTTTTCTTGGATTTGACGTTTGCGAGCATGGGTTAATCAGTTGACCTTGAGATTTCATTTCTCACCAGGAGAATCCATGATTGGCTGCTGTGTATTTTAGTGTGCTATTTTTGTGACTATCCCAATGACGTTTCTATGATGTATAAATAAACGAAAGTTAAGTGCTTGATTGTATTGTAATTGCTGGGTGTTGTAAAATATGCTTTCTACGCTTACCAAGACTTCTGTTTTACAGCTTGGTATTCAAGGTAGCTTACCTGGACGCTGGTACTTGCCTCGTTCGCGTTTATCGACTAAGGTGAACTCGTAAAAGCTTCAAGCGTACTTAGTGACGAACATAACACTTAGTGATTATTCTTAGTACGGAAGAATTTGTGGCGATTGCAGAAGTTCCATATTTTAAATGACAAACTGATTTTCTCTACACCATAACCATCCACCTAAGCTACAAATTTTTTCTATTATCTTAAGACTACTATTAAAAACCTTAAAGCATTGGAAACCGTTTCGTCCTATTGTGTGACTCCTCAGGAGTGAGCAACTACAACATCACACAAAGGCATCGAACCCAAGACTTCGATCCCATATGCAAACTTTTAATCTCTAGTTCACTAAATCGACATCTCATGGTGTTATCTGTTCAATAAAAATATACAAACGTTTCTTTTAATAACCATAACGATTGCTGCAATTTTTGAATTTTCAATTAAACAAATAGTTGTTATGTGTTTATGTGTATGTACGTCATTAATTTTGTGTTTATTCATGATACATACCTAGATCGTGGTACTACTACCAAGCATAAAATATCATAATTTTAAATTATATATGAAGTTTATATTTTCACAAGTGATTATTTGTTGGTAAACTGATTAATGGAAAATATTTGAAACTCTTGTTTTAAATTATATTGTAGTTGAAGTACCAATGTAGAATGACTTTCGTGATCGATCGCTTTGGTGTGCATATATTCTTTCTCTAAATTTTAAGTTTTTATTTGATTTTATGCTTCTTATGGTCAATTTTCATGTACTGAAATCTACCTGTATCCTGCGTGTTTATGTTCTTTTTCAACTGTCATTTATACCTTTACTTGTGCTCTTTTAATTCCGATATTTTAAACCGGTTAACGTGATTTGATGCTAATGTGAACATAAGCAATTCTCAACCCGGATGCAAAATTATATTAGGTTCTACATTATCTCTATAACTAAGTTTCATTACTACACTACGATGCGTGGATTGTTTCACTAATAATTTATGCCTTTTGGTTGGTGTAAATTGCTCTAGTCTTCCACTGTTGCTGATACAATTTTTCGAGAAATCACATACACTTGTCTATGTTATGTTCGTCAGTTGATATGGTGGAACTGTTACGAGTTCACCATACTCGGAAAACGAGAGCGAAGACAAATGATTCAGTGACACGATAGGCAATTCTAATCCGATTGTTCCCGACCCTTCTAACTATAGGAAGAAGTCTTGATGAGGCGTAGAAAGTGTATTCTACAAGCACCCAGAAAATATGAGGTTTTACATGAACACAAATCGAGTTTATTTATACATGATAGAAACGTCTTTGGAAGAGCCACCAAAATAGCGTACTAAAATACTACATCAACCAATAGCAGTCAAGGATTTTCCATGAGCGAAAACACAAGAATCCAAAATTAGAACCTTTATCAAGTGAGTTCTGGGTATCCGATATCCCCAACAGTCTACTAAAACAATCGTTGTACTACATCCCTACAAACAACACTTATACAATAAGAATTTTCTATTTCCTAAACATTTAAATAGTTTCATAATATTTCGGATATTATTTTGAAAACGTTTTATCTTTCCGGTTATTAATATGCATATGCATTTCATTAAAATCATGAAACAATTCAAGTTAGATCACTGTCTAAAACCTGGAAGCGCAGGCCGGCTGTTTCTTCATAGTATAAAACTCTTCAGCCTGTGCATCTAAGGCTCTGAACTTAGTAATCAGACCCAAGACTTTCAGTCTCACGAAGGAATGAGTACCTTTTAGACCCCTGAGCTAGTATCTCACAGTATGAACATTACTGAATTTCATCTCAACCATGATACGATTTAAGTGTAAATTCGTTTTGGTTCCCTTACTAGGGCGGAGTGGCCGGCCAATGCTTTCAGATTATCAATAGTTTGCTAACTTAGATCATTTCATGATTCGAATGAAACTCGTTTCTCTTCATAACTCTATACTGACACTCTATTTATATTGTTTGAATTTCAGCTTTACACTCTGAGAAATTGGAACAACGTGATTTTGTTCATTACCCATTTAAATGGGATGGTCATTTACAAATCAATGCTACTATAAATACTATTGGGAATGATGAATCAGTTGGCAGTAATACCATAGAAGAAGTATCTATCAATGGATTACATCATTATACAGAATATTTATTTGTTATATCAGCATGTCATTCACCGCATAATATCAATGGTGAACCATTGTTCATGAGTGTAATTGTTTTGTTTTGTTATTTTTTAGTTCATTTCAACTTTTACGTGTCATATTAAATTGAAAGTTTTTTCATAATATTATGGATTATTTCAAAGCATTGTGTTTACATGAATTAAGCGCTATTGGCGAAGAGGAATACAAGTTTCGAAATCAAACCATTCATTCTAGTGAACACAAGATATCCAAAACACATTCATTTGATTTCTTTACTTGGAGAGATTGTTTAAATCGGACAAACTAAGCTGAGGGTGACTAGTGAAAAAAAAACATTTTTCGAGCTTCTCACCCTAGTCTATAAGATTCCTTAACAATCCACACCCATGACTTTGCAAGAAACGGAACAGACCTAGGAGCTTCAATGTATTGCTGCAAGTGTACTATTTTCAGCTGGGGAATGTTGGATCCCTAGAACACACTTGGAAAGGTCCTAATTTTGGATTTTTGTGCTTTTGCTCATGGGCTGTTCATTTGACCTTGAGATTACATTTCCCCCTCGACAAATCCTCAACTGTCATTGGTTGATTTGTTGTTTTGGTACGCTATTTTTGTGGCTCTTCCAAGTGCGTTTCTATGATATATAAATAAACTCGATTCATGCGCTTGTCAACCTCACATTTTCTGGGTGCTTTTGGAATGCACTTTCTATGCCTTATCAAGACTTCTTCCTATAGTTAGAAGGGCCAGGGACAATCGGATCAGAATTGCCTATCGTGTCACTGGATCATTTGTCTTCGCTGTCGTTTACCGACTGCGGTGAACTCGTAATGGTATCAAGCATATCAATTAACGAGCATATCATACCAGTTCGTTCTCCAACGCAAACTACTTTTCGATGATCGTCTAACTGTATTTTGTCACAGTTAATTTTGATTATTTGGCAGGTTTTCTTGGTTTTCCTTCAAAAGTGATTATCATCATCGAATCTAACGATATCCTTAAATAGCGATTTGAATTTGTTCAATAAAACAAATCGTTTTCTCGAATTGGTTAATACTTTTTACCAAAAATAATAAGCATTGAATTTTGAACTATTCATTATGTAAACCTGAATCCTTTAAGTCAATTGTTTGACATGTACGTCGATTCTTTTAGGTGGTACATTGTAGTTTAGTCCCATTTAAAGAGCTTCTAGGTGAACCTTGTCAAGATTGAAGTTAGAAAGGTTGTGAACACGTTCTGTGAGATTTTCTGGAGATTCTGAAATCGTTTGGGTCTTTGATAGCGACTGGTTAAGTTTCGTCCATGTTCGTTCGCCGTTCTCTCTAATATATCTGTTGCTAGAAGTTATATAGTTTAATTATGACAAACGATAGATAGTTGTTCAATAAGTGGTATGAAATGGTGTGTAAGTTTTTCTTTGTAATTGGTTTATCTTTTGTCAATGCAAGAGTCAATCTGAATTCGTGTTAACTTCCTCAGACTCACGAACTTGTACATTTCGCACTTTATTTCGTCGAAGCATTTTTGTATAAATCCCATGGGAAGGGTGTTGTCAATAATGCATTCTATTTAGAAATTCCCTAACCCTAGACCCTTTTCAACCATTAATTCTACACTTCAAGTTGACTAGTTGGTGCCAGCTTTTTGATGTTAGAATGATACCAAGAAACCAGTGTACCTACAGTTACCTTTCACGGGGTGATCATTGGCATGAAAATTTACAACCAAACAAACTGCAAGCTGCCACATAAAAAAGACCTTCAGTGCCAGCTAATCTGAGGCTTATCACAACAACTCAATCGACCTCAGTATACCCCAATCAAGTCCTCCAAGACCCGATTCAGTCCAAAATCCCACTGTATTTACCAAATTCACATGTAACTTGCGGAGAAACCTTACTTAAGGAGGACAGATCGCCGATTGGAAGACATGGATAGGGGAACATATTCCAAAATGGTATAATCAAATCCATGATTCATCCAACCCTAGCCCGTCATCTCAAAATCGTACTCAAGAAAACTCAGCCTTCGTCCATTGCAAAAACATCTAATGATGACTGGTCACTTGCCATCAAATTGACCAAATCAGCCGTTCAGAGCTTGTAGACATGGCTCATCCAAAATCCCAACACACACATGAAACTAGCTCGAAGACCTACCCTCTTGATTGGGACCGGAAAAGTCAACTTTATGTGTTCCAAAAACAACTGTATGTTGAACCTGTTGTTTACCTTGCGTTCTAAGTGAGTGCGAATGTCATGCTCACTACATAAGAAATTTTGACCTTTATCTTTGAGCAATAACTGTATTTTTTACACCCACAAATTAACATGTTGCGTGCTATGTGACTCGACGGAGAAAGCACGAAATGGATAACTGGTTTCACAAAAATATGTCTGTTCTGCAGTTCTCTGTTCAAATTTACATCAACAGGGAAACCACTGGTTTTTAATTGATAAACACTCAAATCTTTGTTATACTTGAATGATGGTAGTCCTAAAATGTAGAATCTCATCGCAGTCAGTAACAAACAAAAGTTCAACTAACCGTTAATCATTATTTCTATTGTTCCAATCAAGGAATAAAAAATGCACTAGATCGTTTGTATATTTTGAATCTGCAAACTTGACTAGCACATCAATTGTTATCGTGCTTGTACAACTGATATCGTCTCTCACACAGTTTGTTCTCTGTTTGATCTTAACACAATTGTCATACTTATTATAACTGCAATCAAAAAGAAACATTTAGGGGTTTTTCTCAACTTAGAAATATCAAATTGTACAGATAGAATCAATGCTTACAATGGGTTATTAGATTTGAATAATTTCTGTTTCATTTATTTTACACTTATCTATATGAGTTATAATTAATTGAACATTAATGGTCAATACCCTAGTTCTGAAGGTTTGTTTGATCAGTGTTTGACATATTTATCAACCAAAAACATTTTAATATACTAATCGATATCCACAATTTAGCGTTTGAATTCTTCATGAACTGAAAAAAAGTATCCATAGAAAGATGACAATATAAATAAATATATTCTGTCAAGGCACCGCTGGTTTTTGTTACTGATATGACACAACACCCTCCTTCGTATGACATTTTAGTAACTAAAAACTGAAGTAAACAGTGATAAATCTGTTAGAAAATTATGTTCGTTTCATAAAATCGATGTCTCGTTATTTTCACAAACATAATATAATATTTCTATGTTAATTAAAACGATCATCGTCATGGCACTCTAAAAGTGTGCCTACTGCTTCGTGAAGTTTGAGATATGTGCCATGCACATTATCAAAGAGTTGATAAAATATCGACAAACTTATTTGAAAGTTGATCAGGTATGCAATTTTTGAAAGCTGATTCATCCATACTGAATAGTTAAGGTATAAATGCATGTTGAGACTTAGCCCGTACTCTATTCAATATGTTTCTCTTTTCATAAAGAAAGTATTTAAATTGACTAAGAAATTTTTTATTTGATTACATAAGTAGTAATCGTCTTTCGCCAACCGTTTGAATCACTTCCAAACCCTTTTCACTTGTATTTTTTAAATGAAACTAGTTGTGAACTTGATAACATCTAAAAATTGTATTCACACAACAAGTCAACCATTTTACAGCTTACAATCAATAGACTCACAACTTGTTATCTTAATAGCCAGCGCACTGTTTTTTTTTCAGCAAGCCTTTTCTCGTTTAATAGTAACGTTATTAGTAGTTCATACAGTTTAGTCTTACTGAACAAATGTATCAGTGACTTTTTTTTATCATTATTAAATCGTCTCATAAGATTTTTGATATTTTATTATAAATTATTCTGCCAGTCGTAGTTTTCATTATAGAGTTGTGGCAATTCTTAAGTTACTCATTGAAATCATTCATTGATCAGTGTTAGACCACTATTAGGAACCTGATAGAGGACTGGTAGAGGACTCATCAGCAGTACGCATTCACGACTCCAGCTCATCGTGGATTAATCGAAGTTAGACATTCACACCATCGGATGCCAGTTCAGTGTCCTAGAGGTTAGGCGTTCGCTCGCAAAGCCGAAGATCCCGCGTTCGATTCTCGTGAACGGGCTTCGTGGATGCGCATTGTTGATGAGTTCCTTTACCGGACGAAACAGCCCAACTGTGCTACCAGGTTTCTAACACATTGATTGTTTCATGATTTCAAAGTCATAGTTTTAACTAAAGGACTTGTTCTACATTCCTAGACCTCAAGATTATCATCATTATAACTTTGTATTTTGTATTTTTATTTCATTCAATCATATCAATAATTGGTGATTGCTTTTTATCATTACTTGTAGAATTTAACTCATTTCAATGAAAGCAATTACCATTTAATTGTCGAAATGCCATGGTGTAGTACACAAAGTGTTGTTCAACAACGTACTGAAGCCTCTATTGGTGTTGATGATATTGATCCTGATTCGATTGAATTAGTTGATGAAAATCTTGCTGCAATTATTGATAATTGTCTTACATCTGAATTATTGATGCCACCACCTATGAAACACAGATCAAATGTATGCGATCTAATGTCGAATTTGACTTTGGTCAATCATACACAATTTTATCCCACTAAAATGGATAAAATGCCATCTTCTGCTGCGTCATCTTCATCGTTGTTGTCGCCTCCCAAAATATCAGTAAAACAATTGCGATGGAGACCTCCAACGCAACCTAATGGTTTAACATTACACTATTGGATTCGATATAGACGTTTAGACGGGGAATCGACAGCCAACAATGTTCGTAACGATGATGATGTAAGTCTCTTATATTGAGATATAGATAAATTTTTTTTCAAATAATAACTTGTCGGAATTTTCATCTGATTCCAATTCAGAAATAAAAATTTTTAAATAATTTGTGAGAGATAAAGTTGTATATACCGGTTTCCTGAGCTGGATGTTTTGGTTGTAGATCTTTCATCGTTCCACTGAACAACATCATCAGCACAAGCTTCAGATAGAAGTGAAGTATTTGGATTTCTCAACGTAAGAATGATAGGTCTATCATTCCTGGATGTACTAATCACCAGAACTGACATAGGAAAACTGGAGACTCAAATATTTCAGAAGCCAACCCATACAGACCTAAATCTCAACTACAGTAGCAATAATCCAAAAACTCACAAAAACAAGTGCGTACAAACGTTGTTCAAGAGAGCGAAGACACACTGCAGCACATATAAAGCACCAAAAAAAGAGGAAAAACACCTTGTGACTATTTTCTAAAAGAACGGCCATCCACGCATTGTCATCAAAATATATCAAGTGAAATCGTCAACGGAAGCGAAACCAAGTACAGGAACCAATAAACGAATCATCCTACTATACATAAAAGACATATCGGAACTGACAGCACGCCTACTGAGACCATTTGGAATAGATGTATCACACAAACCAACAGAATCACTTCAATCAATTCTGTGTAGACCAAAGGAAAAAATGACAAACGAATAAAAACCAAATATCATCTGTAAAATAAATTGATCAGACTGCGAAAAACACTACAGAAGACAAAGTGCACAGCCTCTTCAGCTTCGTTTGCATGAACATCAATTGGCAGTCAAACGCCACGACATTTCTTCGCTTATTTGAATACATACGGACAATTATGGACACACATTTGATTGGAACAATGTGGAAATACTGGATAGGGAGAGGAGGAAGAACACTAGAGATTGTTTAGAATCTTGGCTCTCAGGTCAATCAGCAATCAACAAACACATCGACAGTGACCCAATTTATCAACCAATCAGAAAAATCATAAGTGACATAAGATCAAGAAACAGATCAAAGTGGGATACAATCAAAACAAAGGTGCAAACAACTACAGGTTTAAGATCAGTAGCGATCAATCAAGATCGATGTTACCAGAGCAAGCTACGAGTCAAACGTGGAGAAATTTGAATACTTTACTTCTATCTGAAGTGTTTGCTGATGATATTGTTCAGAAGAACAATGAAAGCTCCTCAACCAAAACATCCAGCTCAGAGAACGAAACACCACAATAATCATCCATGTGAGCTACAAATTTTCTACACCATCTCAATACCGTTGTCCCACTGTGTCGATTAATCGCTAATTAAGTTCTCTCCTTACTACACATATTCAAATAGCTGAATGTTTTAATCTAACTATCGTTCTTTGATATATTGTTTGATATAAGCAATGTAAATGAACTAGAAATCCATTTGATCCTTAGCTAACCCATACTTTAATTGAATTCTCAACTATAACAACAAAAATTTAATAACTTATAACAATCAATTGAGTACAAATTTCAAAGTACAAATTCATCTCCCTCAATGAACGAAACTCCAGTAAAGTCAAACGCACAAGTTACATATTTTTGAATAAAATATAACGCAAAAAGAGCCATTCTCTAGATTTGCTTTTTACCTATATTTTAATATCAATGAAAAATAGTGCCACAAACATTTGTAAAGTTGAATTTATTACTTCATTTGTGACCAGTGGTGTTCAAACATGTTGGAAGGTCGTGCAATATCGTGTATTGATTGAAGTTAAACACTAATACCGTTAAGAGTTAGCCTAATAGTACAAAAGTTAGGCGTTTACGGGTGAGACACAAGCTCCTTGGTTCGTGGATGCACACTGCAGTGAAGTCTAATGCTGGAACGGATCGACCGTCCAGTGCTTCCAGGTTTACAATGGCGGTCTAACATTGATTGGTTCATGATTTCAAACGAAACTCAATAATCTTCACAACCTAACAGTGGCTTAATATTTATTATGAACAAATTCCTGCAAATATTTTTTGGCAAATGTCAACATGATTCAGTTATAATGTACACAGACGGAATTATATGATTTCAGACTAATTTCTATAAAAATTAAGTTAACGTGTCAATTACAAGCCCGATAAATGTGATTTATTTTGTTTGGGTTATCATTGTAAACCATGGAACACTGAATAGCTGTTTTGACCTACTATGAAACTCCTCAGTATTGTCTATATTCCTGACTTAACTATACCAATCACACCCGAGGTCTTCATATCTCACAGCAAATTCCCAAATACTAAAACCACTGGATCTATCTACAATGGTATAATTCCAACTTCAGTTGGATTCCGATATAGTGTAATGATCATTCGATATTATTTCATTCCTGATATATATCTCCAAATAAGATCAATCTGTGAAAAATACTACCTACAAATTAAATTAATTGTGGCGGTGGATATTCGATATCATTTCTAAACTTCTCATACATCTCATTCTTGATAACCGTTACTAGACAACGCTTAGCAGTGTATATAATTCAGAAGACGACTAAGAAGCATGGATAACATTTATTATCGCACCAAATCGATTACAAAACCATGCGTATTCGATGCAAATGCCGAGCAGCAAATGAATCAGATTAAAAATATACATATATATACATGACGATATGAATTAGTCATTGAATAATTAAAAGCGGCTAACATTAAAGCTAAGTAGAATGAGTATTTGAGTAGGCGGTAACCCCATTCTCAAGCATACACGTTCATTCATACAAGCGCAACAGTAATAAAAGTACAATTAGTACAAACAAGTTGTTGTTTTTGTTGTTGTTACTGTTAAAATGATGTTATTTTTTAAATAAGTTAATCAAATAGGGCTTAACCTAAACATATAACGTAAACAAACTCAACTATATGTGACGTACTATACAGTCTTCCATTAAAATAAATATTTTCATCGCTTGTCAATAAAGCTTTTTTCTTTTCATTACAGATTCCTAGTTTTATTTGTTTTATTGTTTGTTCTATTTTTCTTCTTTACTTATATTAGGAAAGAACTTGGTCTTCAATATGTTTAAATGCTATTAATTTACCAATGTTATCAAATCAAAATATTGTTTCAGTACAATTATATGATTTACGTCCTGGTTTATATGAATTTCAAATAATGAGTGTTTCTCTAGCTGGAAATGGTTCATGGACTACTGTGAAACGTTTTAAAGTATCAGACACAAGTGTACATACTATTTGGGATTTTTTAGAAAGTGAGGTTATTTCCTATTTTATTTAAAGTTTTATATATATATATATATATATATATATATATATATATATATCAACGAGCAAGGTGGATCTGATGCAGATGTGAAGGCGTGGGTCGGTAAAGCAAGGGCTGCATTTCTACAAATTGGACAACATCTGGAATTCTAAACAAATATCAACCAACACCAAAATCAGAATGTTCAATACAAATGTCAAGACGGTTCTACTGTATGGGGCGGAAACTTGGAGAACTACCAAAACTATCATCCAGAAGATACGAGTATTTATTAACAGTTGCCTACGCAAAATAATTCGGTTTCGTCGGTCAGACACGATTAGCAACAACTTACTGTGGGAGAGGACAAACCAGACTGCAGTGGAGGAGGAAATCAGTAAGAAACGCTGGAAAAGGATAGGAAACATTACGGAACGCCCCTAACTGCATCACAAGACAAGCCCTTACATGGAACCCTCGAGGATAAAGGAAAAGAGCAAGGCCAAGGAACATATTACGCCGAGTAATGGAAACAGACATGCAAAAAAATGAACAAAACTTGGACTGAACTGGAAAGGGAAGCCCAGGATAGAGTAGATTAGAGAATACTGGTCGGCAGCCTATATATACTCCATTGGGAGTAACAGGGGCAAATAAGTAATATATATATCGCAGTTTAAAACATGAAGGAAACGATCTAAACATTCGATACCAATGAATTCATTGTTTCATAGTTACTTTTTATATTCCTTTGATCAATGATAGTTCGTCACATTATTCTTATATCAACCAGTAGCTACTTTTTGACTTGTTTCATATCATTTTTGTTTTCGGTAATTTAGTTTACAATAATTAAATCAATCTATTCAAATAATCACGAATAAATTTGTATTGCTGATTTAAAGTTCCTCTTAAAAGAGAAAGCCCTTTCAATGATATTGATTTTTTATGTGTACAGACAAGTCAAATAGGATACTTCTATCATCAAATATCTATCAGATTGTAATGTTACAAGTTGAATTCAACTAGATATCATGTTTATTTTAATAATAGTTTCTTTTTAAAGTATTCAAAGTATAACCTTGGATAAATTAATTGGTATTTTTAATATTTCAACTACATTTGAAACAGTCAACTTTTATCACACTTATTGTATTACTCATGAATATTTTAACAATGAATTGTTCAACGGAATATCCATATGTTGACATGAAAAAATCATGTATTTTGTCAATGTCAGTTAACAAACTTCAATTAACTTTGTGTTTGTACGTATACAATTGTATGCGGTACACTGATATACCCTATATTCTTTTAAACCACACACAGTTTAGAGAACTGTCCACATCGTAATGAGTAGGTGTTTTCTAATTCACATGTAATGATGTTATATGTGGTGCCGTCTTCAATCAAACTGTTTATGTAAATCCTATTTTTCAGAAAAAAAAGTGTATACAATATTTATTCTTAAGAAAGAAACTATAAAACATTTGAGAAGATGAATTGCATTCATTTTACTTCATGCCTGCTTCATTCTTTTCCGAATATTATTAATTTTACAGTAATTAAATGTGTTTTGTGTTTTTTTTTTAAAAAATTAGTGTTCTTTTTCTTGTTAAATTCTATTATTATTATTATTATTATTATTATTATTATTATTGGGGACGTTTGATCCCCAGAAGTCACTTGGAAAGGGTCCTCATTTTGTTATTTATTTCTGAAATTTTGAATTATTTTTATGTTTTCGCACATAAAGACGCTTAGTTGAACTTGAGATTACATTTCCCATTCGGAAAATCCTTGACTATCATTGGTTGATGGATTATTTTAGTACGCTATTTTATGGCTCTCTACCAACGATGTTGCTATAAATAAGCCTGATTTGTGTCCTTAGTAACCTCAATCTTCCTAGGTGCCTGTAGAATACATTCTCTACACCTTATCAAGACTTCTTACTTTTGTTAGTGGGGCCTGAGACAAACGGATTAGAATAGCCTATCGTGTCACTGCATCATTTCTCTGCTCTTCGTTTACCGAGTAAGGTGAACTCGTCATAGTTTCAAGCATATCGATTGACGAGCATATCAATTATTATTATTATTGTTATTATTATTACTATCGGTATCAGTATTTTAGATGAAATGATGCAATTTTTTTTAATTTTATTTTTGTTTTCATTCAATTAGAACATTATTACATCGTAATTATTGGTTTTCTATGCAGTATTATTCTTCTGAGTTTGTTAGCAATCTATATTGAACGAAGAATTTCACGGTAACTGCTGCTTCGATTCATGTTAATATTGATTTACTTTTATTTTTATTTTTAAAATTTTCATCATCATGTGTGTGATATATTTTCTATTATTTAATTGTCATTGCTATTATACTACTACTACTACTCACACTACTAATACTACTAGCGCTATTACTACTACTACTACTACTACTACTACTACTACTACTACTACTACTACTACTACTACTACTACTGTACATACCAAGCAAGAATTTTGACCCCATTATGTGTTAGGTTATAATAAAGTAAAGCATACCGTGATAGTATATAAGTATATGTGAAAAATTGTTTACACTACAACCTCACTTGTTCATAAAATAAACTTATAAACTTGATGATAATCATTCTGTTTTGATACGAGTTTATATCGTTTCCTTTGTTAATGTTTCAGTAGATAATTGGCCAATCTTGTTCGATATAAGCAGATTATTGGGATATAATGATCTAGTTATTAAGTTTTTATTAAAGTTGAACGGTGGCTAACAGTAAGAATCAAGATGTTTGTTTAACCCGAATTAGAACTTGTTCATTGAGATGAGAATGCACCTAGATCCGAGTTTTTATGTGTGTTCACATTGAAACTTGACCACGATATGTTTTACTTAAACATCTTTAATTTCTCTACTAAACTGATATGCTTGAAACTATTACGAGTTCACCTTAGTCGGTAAACGAGAGTGAAGACAAATGATCCAGTGACACGATAGGCTACTCTAATCCGAGCATCCCAAGGCCCCACTAAGTAGAGGAAGAAGTCTTGACAAGACGTAGAAAGTGTATTCTACAAACACACAGAAAATATGTGGTTTTACAAGCACACAAATTGAGTTTATTTATACATGATAGAAACGTTCTTTGGAAAGCCACAATAGTAGCGTACTAAAATAATACATCAGCCAATGACAGTCAGGGATTTTTTCAGGTGGGAAATGTAATTTCAAGGTCAACTAATCATCGCATGCGTGGAAACACAAAATCCAAAATTAGGACATTTATCAAATGAGTTCTGGGGATCTAACTTTCCCAACATAAACTATCAAGTTCAAATTGTTATCAGTTTGATCAAGTTTTAAATAGAATGAAATAAAAGCATTATGCATTTCAATTTAGCCTAATATTCAACTTTTGAATCAATGATTTTCAAAGCCTTTTACAATGATCCGGTTAATGGAAAGATTGTTTGACTTTTTTTGGGAAAAGAAAATCTATAACACTGAAATATCTACAATAAATGACTAGTTATACATATCTATGATATAATTGACTTGAACTATTAATTGAAACCATACTGTTTTTTATTGAAATTAAATTTGTACTTTCATTTAAAGTACAAATGTTATTTTTATAATTATCAGTAAACAACAAATTATGATTGTGTGTGTGTTTGCACGCATATGTGTGTCAGCAAAGCCGCACATCTTCATTGTTATTATTTTTTGTCTGAAAGTAACAAATAAATAATCTTTCATTAATTTTCTGTTCAAATAACTATTTGTGAATTGATTTGTTTTCTTTTCTCGACTACTAATATTTTATTCTTTTTAAACCATGTACGCGTCAATTGATAATTAGGTTGTCAATGATAATAATAATAAAAATAAGTTTTAATTCAATAACAATTCACAAGTAAATAGTTTTTTTCTTCTAAAAATCAGATTGCTTTAATCATAAGTTCATTGAAATTATGAATTCATCATTGTTAGACAACCATTAGAAATCTAGAAAAGCACAAGATTCATCACGACCCTCGCTCACGGGACTAGAACCTAGGACTGTCGGTCTCACGCTCGAACGCCTAACCTGTAGATTAATAAGCTGGTGTCTGAAGGAGTTAATGTCTAATTTTGATGAATCCATGCGGTCTAGCGAAACCCTATTCATTGTCTTCAGTGGGCACTGCTTCATACATAACGCGGTTGAACTGCACTGATCACAACTATAATTCGTTTCTTCATAGTGTATTCGTAATAATTTCACTCTGTAGATAAAAAAGAATTGGGTTAATGTTTTCAAACTACCAAACAGTAAAAAAAATGCAATCTGGGTTCGGACTTTCATCTTAGAAGTTCCTTTTATGATAGTTTAATAATGGCAAATACCCTATAGTCGTGTATTATCATTATTATTACTGGAATTTACGTCATATGTTTGAATATCTCAATCTGAACTGTCTATCATAGGCTTGTTGATGATATTATAACCTTATACACTTAGTGGAATTTAATTTAGTTTACAAAAAAATTGATCATCCTGTTTAACTGTTATATAATCTTAATGCTTATAACTAATTGGATTCCGTCAAAATAGTTTTATTCCTTTAGATTTCGATGATCAACATTTCAAATTAAATTGTATATTATTAATATGCTTGAAACAATTACGAGTTGTTCACCTTACTCGGTAAACGAGAGTGAAGACAAAGGATACAGTGACACGATAGGCTTTTCTGATTCGATTGTCCTCGGCCCTGCTAACTATAGCAAGAAGTCTTCATATGAAGTAAAGAGTGTATTCTAAAACCACCCAGAAAATATGAGGTTGACCAACACACAAAGATAGAAACGTCTTTGGAAGAGCCACCAAAATAGTGTACTCAAATAATCCATCAACCAATGACAGTCAAGGGTTTTCCGAGTTCGAAATGTAATCTCAAGGTCAAATAATCAGCCTATGCGCGGAAACATAAAAAATTCAAAATTTCAAAAATAAATTACAAAATTAGAAACTTTTTCAAGTGAGTTCTAGGGATCTAATGTCCCCAACAATTATAATAACTTTTTTAATTACTTAATAGTAATAATAATATTTTTATTAATTGATTGAACTAACTTGTACCCAGTAGAAAACGCCTAGAAAATAAACCATGGCATAATGAACAATGGGAATTATTCAATGCCGGGATTTCAAATGATTGGATTATACCAATGAATAATCTGCTATTTAATACTGATGATACACCATTAGGTCGTGGTTCATTTGGTATGGTATACAAAGGATTATTGTTACATTTATCTACTCCAGCTAGTCAACAATTATTTAATGAGAATTCTAATCAGCTGATTAAAGAATTCAATATAAATTCAAAATATTTTATTTCAAAAAAAGGATCAACTGGTTTCGATGTAGCTGTAAAAGTATGTTGATTTGTTTAGTGGTTTGTAATGTGTTTTTTTTTTTAGATTTATATTTTAGTATAAATTATTCTGTTACTCAGCGTGGATACAGAAGGCTTTATTGGCTATTGTCAACTTGCATCACTTATGCCGTAGGCAAGATATCTGTCTGCTAATCAATGGACGAGTAAACTGTGCAGCAGTTTGCTCCGTCCTATTTATGGCTGCAAAATATGTCCAGTCATAATAGATATTCGTAGGATACTGGTTTTCAATCATAGGTGTCTCAGAAGCATCGCTCGTGTATCCTGAGACAACTGAGTAAGCAACGCTGTCGTTAGGAAACGGGTACTGTGTAAGGATGGTAGATCAATAGATGAAGTATTGAAACATCAGTTGAAGTGGTTGGGACATGTGTTACGTATGCCTAACCACCGACTGCCTCGTCCAGTTATGTTTCACGATGTAGGAATAGGTTGGAAGGAAGCTAGAGGTGGCCAAACCGAAACATGACAGAAATCCATGAAGTCACTGACAAGTGAACTGAGTTATGTTTATAGGTGTCGACTACCTGGTTGGGGCCCGCAAAATGATAATAATCGATGGTTAGAGACCCTGAATGACATCGCTCAAAATCGTTTGCGATTGCTCAGGTGCATTCATTCTTTGTGTTCCGTCAAATCCTAACCTTCTGAATTCCTCATCACCTTTATCTTTTTCTTTTTAAGTTTATCTCACTGAATTCTACTTCTTGAATAATATGTTCTAACCCTAACCTCTCCGATTACTGCTAATTTATCTTCTAATTCTACTACTCTGGGATTTGAAGTGACAGTTTTGTATCCGTGCTAATGTGGTATGGCAGCCTGAACTGATATACTTATGTACGAAGTTCTACGTTGTAACTGACTGACTGACTGCTACATAGTTTTAATTGTGATGAACAAACAAGCTGATACTTATATACACTTCCTGTAATATAAGCCTGAAAAATAAATCAAACTATGAAAACGGAAATTTATTAACATTAGAGTATTACAGAGATGGTAGTTTTACCTTGAACTCATGATGAATCCAATACTAGAACGAAACGCATCCATTCTAGTGCTTTTCAGGCTTCTAATAATTAGTCTAACAATGATTCATTTTATAATTTCAAGGTCAATCATTTATTGATTGAATTTTATCTGAATTCATCATTATTCCATTTAATTAATAATCCACTAACATATGTTATAATAATAATAATAACATGATATTTCAGCGAAGAAAGAAAGAATTAAAAACAATTCTCTCTGTTATTAAATATAATTAATATGATTTCTTATTGATAATTGTAAGGTGAATGAATATATTATCATTTATATTATCATTTTCATGTTCAATCACATCCATGATCAATATATTTTTTTTTAAAGTATCATGTTGCTGCATTATGACACAATCTAATTATCTATCTCAATATAATTCTATCAATAGAGATGAACATTAAGATAGCTGAGATAATAAAAAATTAATAATCGATCACTAACATTTCACTTTACAAGTGACAGAAAATAAGATGTCGGCCTATAAAAGTACAATGAATGAATGAATGAATGAAATAATTAATTAATTAATTAATTATAGTTGAACATTTGTTGGATATGACATGTAATTTAGTTTGCATTACGGGGTTGTGAAGATTGTTGAAGATTTTTTGAAACTATGAATCGATCGATGTTAGACTAGTGACCAGTGAATTTCAACCTGTTCGGGTGTAGACAGTAACTATCGAAGACTGTGTATGAGGTTGCGCAACTTCGTGAATTGATTGAAGTTAGACATTAACACGGTTAGATACCGGTTCAGTGGTCCGATGGTTAGGTGTTCGCGCACAATACCGAAGGTCCTGGGTTCGAATCCTGCGAGGTGCAAGAGTCGTGGATGCGCACTGTTGAGGACGAAGCGGCCGTCCAGTGCTTCCAGGTTTCTAATGGTGGTCTAACATTGATCGATTCATGGTTTCAAAAAAATAAAATTTAGTACTAATTATTTTCAAGGATAAACAATCATTACATAGAGTTTGTAATACTCACTAAATTGTCTGTGGTAGATAATAGAAATGGATCGATACTAGACTGTTTACATGGGATGACGCATAGTTTAAATTGACTTATAGCAGCTCAGTGGTTAGATCTGTGACTGTGATTCTGAATAACATGAGACTGAATCCGTCAAGGAGTATCAGTTCTCTCAAGATAAAAAATACACTTTGCTGTTAAGTGTCAACTAGGACGAAAGCCTGATATAAATTTTCCTGTTGATTCTTTTAACCACCACATCATAAAGATGTTTCGTTAAGTGAATACTTTCATGAAAAAGTTCCATTTATTTTGTTTAGAGCAATAAAACAGAAAGTAAAGTTCTATCCTACTTAGAAGAATCCAACACCATTCAGTATGCATACACCTTATCTTTGTATCTTACCGAATTCCTAACAATTAGTTTAATTTAATTTTAACAACTTGCCTAGTTTTCTGTTGTTTTTTAATTCAAAATGATTTATGTAACAACGGTTTTCCATATTGTGAATTTAAGTAACACATATATGCAAATAACATTGTTTTCGATAAGATTATCATTAAGCTTTGCTCTAACCAAAGATGAATGTTGATTTGACAATGCTTAAAGCAGTTTATAAGTCGCTGATCTCAGTGAAATAGATTCTAACCTTCTGAATTCCTCATAATCGCTATCTTTCTGTTTTCTAAATTTATCTCACTAAATTATACTTCTCGAATCATATCTTCGCTCCCTAATCTTCTCCATTACTGCTAATATTTCTACTATCGCTATCACTCTTGGATTTGAACTGACAGTTGCGTCTCTGTGCTGATGTGGTATGCCAACCTGAACTGATGTATTTATGTACGAAGTTCTGCGTTGTATCTGTCTGTCAGTCTGTCAATCGGTAAAAGTACAAATAGGATAGTAAGAAGACAGGTATGCTTGTCGTTCCAATCAGTAGCTTAACATTTAAAGTAGCAGGTCAAACTTGGTTAAAATAGACTTCAATATAATACAAAATGTTATTAGACTTACGTAATAAGAAGTGTATGAATAATTCGGTAAGAAAAGAATAGAGACAAGTGTGGTTAGTTTAATATTCATGTATCTTTAGGTAAAGTCTGATGATGATCTAATTGAGCTAGGGAAGGTCAAACCAAAACATGGCTTAAATCCATGAAGTCACTCACAAGTGGATGGAGTCATGTTGGTAGATGTAGGCTATCTGGTTAGGGTCCGCGAGACGAAAGTCACCAATGGTTAGAGACCCTGAATGACATGGCTCAAAATCGTTTACAATGGCGCTGGTGCATCCGCTCTTTATGTTCTCTGAAATTCTAATCTTCTGACTTTCTCATCATATTTTATCTCATTTGAAATTTGTTTCATTGAATTAGGCTTCTTGAATAATATCTTCAAACCCTAATCTTCTCCATCACTGCTAATACTTCTACTATCTCTACGACTATGGAATTTGAAGTGACAATTGCGTTTCTGTGCTAATGTGGTATGAAAACCTGAAATGATGTACGTACGCATGAAGTTCTACGTTGTAACTGACCGATCTGATTGAAAACTATATATATATACATCTTTAGTTTGTATTGCTCAGTGCAACCGCAGATAACCATTTATCTAAAAAACTATTTCATTATTCAGACTTTATTTCCTGCTTCAACGATGGATGATATACGTGAATTTTACAATGAAGCATCATTTATGAAAAAACTTAATTGCAAGTATATTGTACAATTTTTAGGCATTGCACTAAAACCGGTCAGTTTACTATTATTATTATTATTATTGTTATTATAATTATTATTATTATCTATGTTTGTTTATGGTATGCTAGTCATTTGATATGCTTGAAACTATTTTGAAAGAGTCACAAAAATAGCATACTAAAATAACACATCACCGAATAACAGTTCCTGATGGGAAACGTAATCTCAAGATTAACTGATCAGCCCATGAATAAAATGTAAAATTCGAACCTTTATCAAACGAGTTCTGAGGATCTAACGTCCCCGACAGTTTGAATCGCTATGACGGTTATATTTTTATTTTAATACACTTTTTAAAAAAATCTGATCTCTATATGAAGGTGTGAATCTTATCAATAAAAATTACTATGAATACTAATTGGCTTATTGTTGTTGAATCGGTTCTCGTGTGATATCGTAATATCAAATGAGGATAACTTATTGATTAAAGTAAATCATTTTTTTCAGTCAATAAAAACTTACTCTAGTCTTCTAATTCAATGAATTCAACTCAAATGATATTATTTTGCCTTTCAAAAAATATACAAATATTTGCTCGTGTATGCCAA